TGCGAACGTGAGCCGTTGTTCACGAGCAGCTGGAGCGTCCTTCTCCGCCTCGACTTCCAGGCTTTGCCTCACTCCGTCTAAGTACTCAGTCAACGAGGGGTGTAAGCTGCCACCTTCTAAAGCAAAAGGGCTGCCAACAAATTTGAACAGTCACTATCGTGTTAGTATTTAATCTAAGCGAGTAGTATCAATTTTATACCTTAAAATTAAAGTATAAAATTAATAAGTGAAATTTAGAAATTATCAATTGTCAAAAAATATTGACTATTGCATTTGATATGTGCAGTTTAAAATGATTTTAAATTTTAAACAGGTAGGTACATTTTAGATAATTTGCTCTCAAATATCAAATGAAATCTCTCATTGAATTCAACTTCAGTACGTTATATTACACATGAACCTGCAATTGTTAACACCTGCCAATCTGTTGCAGGTAATGTGAAAACCTGCCGCACTAGGCTCTCATATTGGATTATACTCAGTCTCCCAATACAATTTTTCACTATGATAAAGTGACCATTAATAGGCTTATGAAGATATTTTAATTTTGAAAATCGGTATAATGAACCTAGTAGCAAACGTCTTTTTCTGCGCGATCAGGAGAAGCATCTTGTTAAGATTGAGCCGTAGAGCATCACGTCGCCGGCGTCGGCGCATGTTCTCCTGTTTACGATCCACTGCTTCTCTTAATAACGGCACCAATTCTTCCATTAAGTCCCTGCCAGAACATAGTTAAATACATATTTAATTTATTATTACAAAACTAAATTAAATTTTAATACCACTTTCCGCCAAGAGTGCGAGCCACTCTTGTATAATTTCTAAAGAATTAAATCATAAAACTTTCTTTGTTTTTATATCATGTTTTATGAAGACTTTAGATCAAAGGTATAAGGTCTCGTTTGCCAACCGAGCGCAGGCAAGTAATCACTATATCTAGTGTTATTTCTTGCAAGATGAGCGCGGAAGGACATGAAGTGTCATCGGTACAATCAAAACAGTACACCCACGCTAACAGTATCCACGATTCTATGATTCAAAAACTACATAGAAAACTTAAGCTTGATTTTGTTCCGTTTATTTTGTTAACTTATTGGCTGTCTACTATCATACAAGCATCGCATTCATTACATTCTTCCACGTTATGCTGCGACTAGATTGGTTGTTGGCAACTATTACTAAATAAAAAAATATGACTAACCTTGCTATCTAAGACTACTTACACCATGGACTTATAAACAGGACAGAGTACTTCCAGCTAAAAAGTGAACCGAGTGATATATCAAGTACAGAGGTCCTTTACAACGAATTGCATACGTACTCATTATCTGCGATGTCGCTTCAATTGTATGAGGGCTCGACTCGTTTTACTTTTCCGCAATTTCATATGCATAGTATTATTGCCAAATCATCAAAATATATTCAATTTGACAAAAGAATATGGCAATATCCTCCTATATAAATAAGTGAAAAGCTCGATGGTGTAGTGGTTAACGTGTTTGATCTTCGATTGCAGAGGTTAAGCGACGATTGCAAAAGCCGGTAATAGGATGGGTATTACATTTTTTTCGGAACGATTTAGGACAAATAATTTTGGGTGGTTAGCGCATTTGAACTGCGAATCTAATTAGTCGAGTGTGGAGGAGCAGAATAGGCATTGCGAGATGAGGCCGGGTGGAGCGGGGTGTGGCGGGTATTTGCCCTTTTCTTCACTTGTGCTTTTAACATCCATTAATTGATAGATAAAAATATCGTGACACATACTTTAATTCAAATACAAAAATATATTGAATTAAGAAAAAATGTATTATATTACAGATCTTCAATAAATTTCGAATTGCTACGTGCTCCATTGAGCCATGAGTAAAGAGCCTTAGGATGAGGGTAATAATAATATACAAAATCTCAAAAGAGTCTAGGCCAATGTCATATCATAACAGAAATTTTTGTTTACTTATTTTAGTAAATTCCTAGAAACGATTATTCATTTATAAAATATATTTATTATATTAATACCAAATCAATGCAGTACAAATGTTCTAATAAACATTTCTTTTTAAATTCAATATTAAATAAATAATCATTAAATTACAAAAACAAAGTTTCAAAGTACAATTTTACCGTCAACTTTCGCAACAAGTGAAAATATAATTTTGTTTGTTGATTTATATCAGAAATCATAGTGACAACTGCATACAACAATATTTTCTATTTCAAGTATCTGCCCTCAACGGTTGAGACATTTTTGTCGCATTCCTTCATTTTTCGTAAATCTGAATTAATATTTTGTTATGACAACATACACCATCATCCACATATTAAGACTTCATGGTAAACAGAGTTGTTACATTTACAATGTTGTTATTTTTCATTTAAATTTAAATTTAATTTTTAGTGCAATAACTTTTGAGGGTGGGGGCCTGATATTCTATAATACAAGAAATTTATTGCCTAGCTTAGATGTCAGTCTCCTACAAACTATGTTTATGATGATATATACTAAGCACATTGTTTAAGTGAAAAAGTTTGTGGAGAAAATAAATGAAATTATTATTATTAATTATTATTTTAATCGTGAAAAAACGTATTGCAACCGCTACAAGATTCATTTGGACAAACATAAACGCAACACTTTTCACCATTTTAACTGTTGGAATGTATAAAAACTATTGAAATAAAAATACCATGAAAGGGATACCAGTTGAAAATAAGTTAACAAATAGCCTTGATAATAATTAGTACTATCTTTTTGTAATAATTTAATATTAATAAAATTAATGTGATTATATAATAACTTAAAATTTTTAAACAGTTGGCATTACTATTCAACACTAAGGTTTTTTTAGTTTAAATTGTCGATATTTTTTTTTATAATGTCAAGATGAAAGAACGAGACACACGGCCTCCGTCGTGACTATCTATCTTGGCTCAGATAAGCTTATATACAAAGAAAAATTAAAAGTATACTTTAACTGATAGTGAAAAGGTTCATTTCTGAAATACAATTTTTCGGTGTTATAAGTCCTTTTATAAGTACTAGAAGTCCATGACTTATACTGACTCGGGGACAATTTTTAATGCGTAACACTACCCGCAAATGGTGTTACAAAACCAAATATTTGGAATCAAAGAAATATTCTTACTTGAGAGCATCCGGATTGATATTACCGCAAGCGGCAATTGCAGCATCCCGGACTTCCGGTACTTCACATCGCGCCAATGGCACTGCCAGCTTATGCAGGGAGCTAGGCGATGCCGCAGCCCCTCGTGCTTCACCCCCACTGCGCTCACTCAGTGAGTCAGGTGATGAGCTGCCAATCACAACTTTTCAAGCAACACTCCACAAGGGTAAATATAAAAATACTATTCAGGACTTTTATTGAAATTGAAATAAACTCGAAGTAGTATGTAACAATTATATTAAGTTTGTTAGCGAAATATTCTTCCTTTAAATTATCTCTTTGAATGCAGTAAAGAAGATTTTTTTAAGAATGATATGTAACTCATTTTAAGTAATATTAGCAAATTGTGTCTTAATGTTACGGATGTAATTACAATATGCAAAGAATGGCAAATTTTAATAATACAAATATTCCATAGAAGGTCTAACATTTAAGATCATATCGGACTTGAAATTGCAATTTATATTATTATTCGGAATTAAACATAACATTTACATTAAAATTGAAAACAGCCAAATTAGTTATCAATTTATATTCATTGTGTACTCATCATTGATATTGTTGTAACAAACATTTAGCGCAAAGTAAAAAGATATCTGAAATGGGGCGTTAAAAAAATAATAATTCAGCAAACACATCTTAAACCACACATTCAAGCACATACCAAAATAGTTATCATGAAAACATTACCTTATAGCATAAGTATGTAAACACAATGAATACCTACTACCAAGCTTGATGCCGACAAAAGGATGATAACGACATGAAAACATGGAGAATGCTTGTAAAACCGATGGACATGAATGATATCATACCATAAAGTTAACTTCCAGTAACATATAACACTCCCACAATATCTTTTCTTTTTAAATATAGAAGGAACAAAAACGTCACATTTGTAGTTATGATCTCCAGTACTGAAGTATTCAGTTTCAAGAAAACATCTACTAAAGGCTTTTTAAAGTAAACAGATATTATACATTTGTCAAGCAATTGTTGTATAGGTATAAATAATAAGAAAAGCACAATCAACAACACATCAAGTTACACATAACTGTTTTTAATTTATTAATCATTAGCGAGTTAAGCGAAAACCGACTACGAATATTTGACATTATGAGACAACTCAATGTGTTGTGTATACTAAACTAATAAAATTGAAGATATTATACTAAAATAATATCTTCAATATGAAAATTAAAGCGAACTAGTTTTAAAAAGGACTTTTTACGCGTGGACTCTTGAGTCTACTCGGAGTTGAAGTAAATTCTTTATACGATCATAAATCAGACTAAACTACAAAACAAAATATAACTATACATATGCTTACTATACATATGCTTTTATTAGAGGTTTCATCTAAATACAGTCGGCTATGCAGTATTGCAATGTCGAATTAACAATTTTGTCGCCAACAGGTTATTTAAATAGTATCTAACATAAGTTTAAAATATTAACAATGATTTATATTCATAAAATTTGACTTTAATAGTTATGCACTTTGCCAAAATTTACTATTATATTTGACGCTCTTAAAACCTGCCGCCCAAGGTTCCAGCCTACTGACAAAAATAAATGGCATATATGTAGTTGCGCTGATGACACAACTAAAAAAGTTATTTATCCCCACAGAGGCTCTGTACATAATAGTATCTCAGTTTATTAAAAAATGTAAAAGAAAACAAAATGACACTCACTTGACACCCGATCAAAATTAAATCAGCTAAATTTAATTCTGAATCACACACGTCTACGTCCACACAATGTGAATAATATTAGGAATTTTATAAATAATATTTGTGTAGGTGAATTTATCACCAAGGTTTTAATTAGGCGAAGATAAAACGGGGAAACTACATCTCAAACTTTGTTTAATAGTACAAGTACCTACATATATCAGGATATCGGACGATTGAAGCAAACAAAAATTTTGACATTTCCTTTATACGTATAAAAGGCATATTAAAATACTATTTTGTTCAGCATTTTAAAATGTATTTGAAATAAAATCATTTTTAGATACATTATCGATAAGCAGGTATTTCTTTTATTTGACGTTTTTGCAATTAGATTAAAAAAAAAATGATTTATGTTAATCAATGTCTTCAGATAATGAGAACAATCATCACGACGAGAATATAATTATTTTAAACTATATTAGATACAACAATATGCTTTCAATGTCTTCCAAAATCTAATCACTTTTGAGGTGTAACAACAAGCTTACACGCCAACAGATGACTTTGGTGTTTATTCTTCTACGAACAAAATATCCATCTTCTTTTATAGTGACATGTTTCCCGTTTAATTTTCGATCAGAAATGTTTTTCAAATATTTATTTGTTTATTTCCGAGTTGCACAAACATAATGATCAACTTTAAGCTTCAATGAATGTTCTAAAGAATCATGTCCAATTTTGACCTCAAAATTTCCAAATACGCCTAGAGATGCGATATATCTTAAAATGTAGGTTATTTTTACTTATTTCATATCAGGAAATTGAATCTTAAATAAATTCAGCATAAAGATTGCGAGGCTGATAATTATTTATAAATTATGTTTTTTTACACTACTCCAATGCGATTCGGACCCAATGATAATTTACTACGTTTCATTTCATCTACTATGGAAAAATATTGGTTAAAAAGTGTACATTCACAATTACATTTTTAACTTATTTCTACATTTACGAGTTAAAATATAAAAAGTTTTGATTTATGAATATCAAATCTTTTCATATTATAACTAACTTTTTTCCGTAGCAGATGAAAAAGCATTAATTTTTAAAGTAGCTTCCCAATTCTTTCGAGTTGAGACAGAGATTATAACCTTAAAACATAATTTAAAAATTATGAGTCTCCCTGGCCTCCAAATAAAAAGATTCTTAGATATATTATTTTATTTTAAGCAACAACTAATTTAAATTACCAATAATAGTAGGTAGACGCGACTAATAGTAGGTAATCAACGTCAATCAATGTATGGAAAGTGGACATGGTTCATTGAAAATTTGTAGCAGTACTGTCGCTTTAAACTAATGACAATTTTAATGGACGTTTTTGCAACTGGGTTTATATAAAACAACAACAATATAAGTTTCTGATTTTAAACAATTATATTATAATTATAGCAGTAGCACTATAGTAGACACATATCACTATAAATTAATGAATAAAACATTAAATTATAAGATTGGCCCCATCTATTGACAGCCATAAAGATTAAAAACAAAACATTCCAAATTTAAATATAATTTATAAATATATAATACGTTAGCATGTCCGGTTAATGTAGAGTTCCAAATTCTAACAGTTAATTTGGAACTTTGTAGTCAATGTATTAAGGATTAAAAACAAGTGGGCAAAATTGACAGTTTTGTATAACTTGACGTGCTGTCTACTGTCCATACTCTCGGACACAAAAACCACTAAGTAGCCCCAACATCAGCTCACACAGTCAACAAAAGCTTTTTGAACCGTCAGTAAAATTTTATAATCAAAAATAGGATTTAAGAACTCTTATAAAGAACACATTTTTTATAGGTTTAAAAAATACTTTTTTACAAGTTTAAATTAAGTGAGCTTAGTCGAAAAATGGATTTAATATAACTGTTTATATTTTTTTCAAGCAAACTGCTCATTTAATGAAACAACGGAGTTTAGGGCTTGTATTATAGGACGTTTCAAACCCTTTGCAGACTCCGTTATCACTAGAATGAGATGCCAAGAAACCAAAACATTTACAAATGTAACAAAATCAGTTAAATACACACACTTACAGTAAACACATTTAAATTTAAACTTAGCCAAATACAAGCCTACAAAATGATACGTCATTGATAAATCCAAATAATGTCAAGTTAGAGATGAGAGCAGTAACGTATGGTCGTGTTGCCCGTGACGTGTTTTAAATTTTATTTACAAATGTTTATGAATACGGTAGGTTGGAGTGCGGCGCGTGAGCGGTGACCTACTTATGTGCCCATGCTAGCGCGGGACCAGTAAGGACAACGCGATGCCATCACCGACATAAACACAGTGAGACACGTGTGATATTACTACGATGGTATCGAGGATAAACTTGTAACGAATAATATTTTATTGTATTTAGGATATACAGCATGTTTGTACTATCTTTGAGATTTCGTGGTTTGTGGCATATATTTACACGTTCTTAAATTAAAATCGCAGAGCTAAAATAAATTTATATAACGCATATATAGATACCTATATAAAGATATGAAATGGATACTTGATTATGACAACTTACAAACCTAGACCATGTTTTATGTTTGTTTGAACACACCAAACTGAAAAACTACTAAACAGAGTAAGTAATTCAAATGGAAGTTTAATGCGTATATTTAAATAAGGTAACTTCAATAGTTTAATGAAAAAAATAACATTGATTGATATATCAATTCATAATGTTAGAACAATAATCTGCCACAATAAAAAAAAAAATTTTTTCATTTGCACTCCTCTATATTCACCAGTAAATTTAACAATTTTCCAATTTCAATGTAAAATGCCAATTAAAAGAATACTGTCCAAATATTTCAAAATATGTATTCGTTACGAGCTTAACGCCCAAATAGATGCGTCGTAGTCGTCGTGCATGTTGGGCGTTATCCACCTTGTACGTTTGTGCCTGTGCGCGCGCGCATAGCTCAGGGGCAGCGTGAAGAACCCGCCCGCGTTGAGGCTCTCGCTCGACGAACCCAGGGCGCCGCCCCCCAGCCAGCCCTCCTGCTCTGTGCCACTGAACAGACACACCACCATCCACTACCAGAAACACCTATCAACTCGTTAACCCTATGTTAGGCACCTAAAACTCAGAGCCCATTTTAGTAGAGACAAGCCGGGCGATTAATCGGAACGGCTAAATTAAGGACATCGCCCAATTAATGTTAGTATTAAGTGTGGCTAATATAATTTGTTCCTAGAACGGCTAAATAGCTTGATCGGGCAATGTCGAAGTTGATTCCTGACTAAGCAAATGACATTTCTATTCTATCCAATTGAAATATCAACGGATCTATTCTCAGGTGTTATTTTTTAATGCTTATTTATATCTATCCATTAAAAATAAAAATACATAAAGCGGTAGTTTCTACTAAAGAAACTGTAATAAAACAGTTGCTTTCCTTATTTTTAAAAATTTTTACTAATCCACTCTCCAACACCAAGATGTAGGCGGGAGGGTGACAGAAAGTGCGGGATCAAATGCCTAAAGAGAGTAAATCCGACATGCAACAGTAATAGTGGACGATGACAGTGCCAAGACACAAAATATTTGCGTTGATCGCTCCACGTTCCTCAGACTAAAGCATAGAAATCAATAGTATTAATATAATCAGCGGTCTACAGTTTGCCGTCTGTTTCATACTTATACCTTCAACATCTTATTAAAAAACGACGACTAAAATTAGTACTTTATACAATTGACCGCTTTAAAGCAAATCGACAATGACAACAGAAAACGTCAAACTGAGACGTATTTTGGTTTAAACCTGGTACGAGTTAGTCCTCGTTTTATAATAAATCGGTAAAGGATGCAAATCTGATGGAAGAACCGTAGTTTATCATCAGTAACGTTAAATCAGAATTAACAAAGTAAAATGATATTGCACAATCAAAAATATTAAAAAGATAGAAATGAACTGAATAATACGGAAATATGCATTAGTACGCTTCTGATGCATATTATATGTATTATACGTTAGATGGATTCCATATAAACGTCAGATGTGCACCCATCGGTGCAAGGTCGTTGAAGATGCGTCACGTCTTATCGTCGCAGAATGTCAGAACAGATAAATATATGAAATAAACAAAAAAATTGACAAGTTATCAAAATATTTTTTTATCAGAATATTTCTTATAATGCAATTTATAACATGAATCTACGGAGAACAAAAAACATTTTTTATTGTATCCCAGTTTTTTGATATGTACTTATTTAAGGCATTTAAAGATAAATGTGTAACATTTTAGATTGTTTTGAGTCTTATTATTTCTCGTTGGTTGCATAGTGTGGTAAATTCGAACTAATGTATTGTGATAATAATAGAATTGTCAAAATTATAATAAGAATAAAATAGCACCAACACCCTAGGATCACTTGAGTAAATTGTTACACTGGGTCTATGAACATGTCCTCAATGCGAAGCTTTAATTTTGTGCACTTTTTTGTGTCATTTGAATCTGAGTAAAGGTCACATGCGTCTCATTGATTACAAGTCATAATGAAACAAAAGTCCAAAATGCTTAATAAAATATGTATACAAAAACACGTAAATAATAGAAATTCACAGAGAAACGACGAACAAAAAAGACTTCTACCGCGTTTTCAATCAGCTACCTACCAATGTTACTGAATAAAATAAATATTCTAAAACATTCTAAAAACACAGAAATAATAAAACATGCTCGCAACAAAAACACTTCAATTGTAACTGATGCATAAGTCGCAGCAATTGTAACTGATGCACATGTAGCTGGGCTTTTAATTAGTAGTCGCCATTGAATAACGTGGCTAGATTTCTAATTAAATGTTATAACATTTAAGATGTTTAAAAGACAAAATAAATTACCTGTAAAACTAATAATACTATAATTAGTTAATTCACGGTAATTTAATGTGGATATCACTGAAATTTTTATACTGTATGTGAATAATTATATTTCTGAGAAAAAAGAAACAGTTGGCTGAGCTTCTTCCAGCTGTAATTGTAGATAGTCTTGTTCAGATACACAGTTAATGGAGGTTTAGACTAGCAATTAAATATACCACTGAACCAGAAGGCTACAGCCGTCAATTACAATGGCTATTTTCAGCAGTCGGCTACGACATACATCAACGGTTATTTGTTACGTGTATGTAGAATTACATTATTGAAATATATTTGACACACATACATCACGCACATGCTATGATGGGCTTTTATACATGTTCTACACATTTAGAAAACTCAATTAACTATTTAACTTATCATTATTTACTTCTTTTTATGATAAAATCAAATATAAATATAACAAAATTCTCTCTGTTTTCGCAATATATTTCGAATAATCTTGTAAAGTTAAATAATTAAATCAAGCTTGCAGAAACGTAAACCTAGTGTTGTGAAACTAGACAATTTGTGACTATTTTTCTTATTGAAAAATAGTATCGGGCATCAATATCAATAATCATTTTACAAATTTGACTAATAATATGGTTAAAAAATTAATACTAAAGTGTATATAATTCACGTAAAAAATATTATTAAAATAGTTTTATAAACTATTATTAAAATAGTTTTATAAACTATTATTAAAAGCGCGCAGCAAAATAACAATGAAAAGATATATAACTTTTTTAAATACTTGCTGAGAATCAAGTCAGCGTTGTTTTTGTACTGTAAAGTCAACAGCACATCAAGTTATACAAATCTGTCAAACTTCACTTGATTTTGAAACTTAATATTTTGTGGGTAGGTTTTAAAATCAACTGGAGAAATTTGACATATCGTGATAACCTAACGTGCAGCGGTGTGTACGAAAACCGTAATAGGGTATTTTCAGAATGCGTCGTTTGCAATGACCCTACTAATGAAACTGATGTGAAATGCACAATGAAACTGATTCTTACCTTAAACTGAGATCTGGACTCGCACATCTTATTACGGGACTCGGTACCGCTGGTACAACAAGATAAGCCATTGTCATGTAGTATTTCCACACCTGCACAATGGAAAAGAGACACTACGTAAACACATATACAAATGTATACTATGGTAGAAGTGGACCAGCTGCTCGTATAGTTACCGGTTTCAAGAAGTCACCATTTTTAAAGTTTTAAAATTAGGTTTTGCAGGTTTATAGCTTTAAATTTTACATAAACATAGAATTTCTCATTTTCCAACCTTTCAACAATTTTTTCAAAAGAAAAATAATTCTTACAGTGAATTTATTGTTTTGTAAATATCAAATACAATATTTTTTTTAAAATCTCAATTATAGGCTTATTTAATCAATATAAAGTTGGAAGGAGATCAATCCGAGTCAAAGGAGGCAAAGTTAACGAATTTTCTTCACAGGCCACATGTGAATGACAAATAACAAAAATCCTATCTATTAGGTGCCTACTGGCTTGCATGTATTCATGGTTTCTTTTCATACAAACTACCCTAAAATATTATTCTTTCGCTTCCTTGTGTCTTCAATATGGATAAAGAGAAAAATAACCAAACCTCTTCTAATAATATTTAAAATTCTACTCACTAAGATTTGAATGATTAACCTTGTATTTATTTTGTTGCATGAAACCGTACCAACCTGCATATATCCATCTCTTTCTTTCTCTGGCTTTCTAGGCAGCGTTGGTCCTCGAGATAATAGAGACGCGCGATTGTCGTTCACCGGCCTAGAAATAATAACAACGGTCTCATAGAAGTGCAAATCATAGGATAATGGTGATATAGTCCTTTTTGTACAATGCCAATGCAATATTAAGAAACATTTCATGAGTTCATAAAAAACTTGTTTAAGATATAAGCAATACAAGTAAATAGCAAATAATCATTTTTATTATCATAGCTCTAGCCTTGTACTTGGAAAATATAATCAAATTCCTAACATAATGTTATTGTTTTCCAATTGAATAATCTGATACACAAAAGGATGAGTATACTCACGCGGGCTCTATTATGGTGAACAGTGCATGTATCCTCGCGTGGAGTATTGGCCACGCCTGCAGTATAGTGGAAGGGCAGCGAGCCGGTACACGAGAACGCTCGAGTAAACCGAACAATATCACCTGACATAATAAAAAAAAAAATTGTTTCATTCATAATATGCCTCCGTCATAATAAATTTTGCAGGCGTAGCATAAAAACTCCAGAAAAGCTTTGTCTACATCAAACATTCCTATCGTATTGGCGACATTAATCGTATTAAAAGTGATATTTACATGTAGAAAAAACGCTGTCGCGTTTATCATGCTATGCGTGCTCTGGTGCTGGTGTTAATGTTCCAGTTTAACAATATTACTATATCCTTTTCCAAAATATCCAGTCGCGTAAATGTCTCTTTCTAGAATGTCTATTTTTCAATATATTCCTTTTGTTAATATATATTACTAGCTCTCCGCCTGCGGCTTCGCTCACATGTAATTCGATCATCCCTTCCTTTAAGACTATTTTTTGCGACAAAAACTATCCTATCCTTTCAAAAGATTCACTTTGTCTATGTTTCAGTGCTTCCACGAGGAATTAAATGAATAAAAAAAATTAAACTGTCTACAGTACTAATTGTTTTTTTTTATTACTAAGGTAAGGTATTACCTTCCATGGGTCAGCACCATTGGATGCGCTGCCACTCCAACTATTTTTGGTAGAAGTTTCATCATGCTGAGTACCTGTGAAGAAAAAGTATAGTTATATCAATATTTCCGGTAATTGTACACACATCAGCCCTGCGATTCTGAAAAAATCCAGACCCACTTTTGAATTCACTCGTGTCCGAATTCACGTCATTTAGAGTAAAAATTTTATTGATTCTATAAAAATACAAACCAAATTACATGAATTAGATATTCACTTCACACTTCACTTATGCCACGAAACGATATTACCAATTCCAGGTTGAGCGGATGACGCTTTTTGAAGTCAATTCGGAGACCTGAGTGTGACCTGATTCGAATTCGGGTTTGAATTTTTACAGAATCGCAGGGTTGATCATTATGTTACCACAAAATGTCGAATTTTCATGATCAATATGTTATGTATAAAATATTACTATTAATAATATAAATTAAGGTTAAAAAATAGCTTCAATTGATTTTTAATAATCTGCGGTTCAAATCCTTAACTTTTGGTAAGAAAGTACCTGGGGATTTCCTGTGTCGCCCATATTATGAAATTTTTGAAATTTCGCTCTGTAGCCGTATGAAGATGTAATTTACAACGTATGAGAAAGTTCTGAACACTCTATTTGTTGATGCAATTGAAAGCTTCAGAATATTTCATATAAATATAGTATTCCTAAACAATTCCAAATTTATATGGGTAAGTTCTCAGGTCTCAACAGCTAAATCAGTTTTCGTTTATGTCGACCCCCTGGAAACCACAACCACAAGAGGTTGATATCGACCATTTTGGAGATCTCTTATCTAGAGTGTCCTTACTGGCTGTCCAAACGGCGTGACTCCTTTCTGCTACCCAGACTAGATCGGGCTGTGAGACAGCGAGCACGGCCTGTTTCTCAGCGGGCGGCAATAGAGGCAGACATCGTTCTGCTAACTGTGGTACATGCTCGTCCGCTGCGTCTATCAATGCTGGTTCGTCGCCTGTCAACTGCAACTTCTCTAGCAAGCACTTAGTCTCTCTGCGTTAGGACAAAGAATAAAAAATAGATAAAATTTAGTTTCACGTCCAATGCAGTAATTATTAAGTAGACAACTTTTTTATATTTTTATTTTATAGATACATACCATATATGTAAAAATATATTTTAAAAAGTATCATTCATATAATGAGTTTACACCTAAAAATGAAATTATTTGAATTCTCCAAGTTCTTCTATGAGTAGGAGGAGCGTAACGTCACGTGATAATGACTGTAAAATACTTTACCATAATTGATTTATGCAATATTATAAATATATTAAGCATAAAAGTGTAACTATCGGTAATAGTATATTAAACACTACCAGAAAAAGAAAAATGTATATATTTTCGTTAACTGTCTGTGCCCGTATTATTAATTAAATAAGATTTGCGTATACAGTAGAACCTCGATAAGTTAAAGTTCAAGGGAAACACAAAATATTTTAAGTTATCGAGGTTTTAAGTTATCAAGGGTCTATGTTAGGGATAGGTTAATATAGAGGTAGGTATGTACATATATATGTATGTATCCTTGTTCCTATTTTTACTTGAATGCGTCAGAAGGACAGGTTTATTGCACACGTTAAATAAAAATAAAACAACAATTAAAGGTTTACAGCCAGTTGCACAAACGACCATTATCCATTTCATTAGTTTAAAGCGACATTACGCATACAAATTTGACATTAATTAGATCTTAAAGGCGTCATTAAACCTTAATGAACGTTTGTACAACTGACCGTTTGTCTACTAAAAAAGTCAGTGATATTTTTTTTTTGTTTTAAACAATTCACAGTTTCTAAATCGATTTAAAGAATTTATGTTTTTTATTTTTTACGTTAACAATTTAGCTAGTGAACACGTGCAAGCAATAAATACCGAAATCTTTTGTTATGGACACTCTTTCAAAATGAGTCATTAACAAACATTTTTATGTTATAGAGGTTGTGGAAGCATTTCTTTAAGTTAGTGAGGGCCAATACAGAGATTACGTATTTAAGTTACAGAGGTTGCGTATTTTAAGTTACTGAGGTTTTAGCCTCTGTTGGGAAGGGAACATATTATTTTTTGAAGTTATAGAGGTTTTTAAGTTACCGAGGTTTGAGTTATCGAGGTTCTACTGTATAACAAAACCTTTTATTTGAATAAATGAAATACTCTCACCGCCAGTTGCACAAACTTCCATTAAATTTTTTATTAATTTAAAACCGGATTTGAAATTCATTTGTGTTTAAAGGCGTCATTAAACCCTTATGGATCTTTGTGCAACTAACAATCAGAAAATAAGACGTTCACCTTAACACGTGTACGGCGAGTCGTCGTGGGTATGGTTTGCATTGACACAACATAACGAGCCCTAGGGCTTCAGCGCCGCGCACCACGGCTGCCAAAGCTTCCTGCTTGACCCCTGCTCCCGTAATAGTATTAGAAGACGGCTCACCGTTTTTCCAACTTGTTATCAATTGTAATAACATACGTAAACCATTCTCCACCAACTGAGGCGAGGTATCCTAAAAATTGGAAAAATAGTTCTCAGCAAAGAGCTAGAAGTGGACCATAGAAGAACAGACCAGAGTTCCGCATGACGGCGCAAGCCTTATCTGTTTACATATTTCATTGTCTAGCTTTTTTCCTTTCATCGTGATTATTCTCGATCCACAAAATCATCCTGTTAGATTTTCTTTGTTTATAACCAAAAGTATCTGTGTTTTTCTTTAGTTTAAAGGAGCCAAACTAAATAGTCCAGCGCTGAATGCGCTGAATCTCAATATAATGAATGCTAGTATTCAAATACATCCTCACTACAACGCTTTAAAAATATTTTAGTTCGAACTATCAGCAATTACTAAGACGGTTTATAACATATATGTATATTTTTTACGTTACAAACAAAATAAGAAAAATTATTTACTCTTTATAATATCAGTATAGCTTTAGGTCATTCTTTCTCAACTTTAATATATTAGACTAAGAGCCCGCGACGCCCAGACCTTCGTTATATTATAAAAGCTGAAAATTCTTCTATACATGTCTCCTATACAGGTAAGCAAACCCAGCCTATACAACATGGGTCGCGGTGGCTTTGGCAGGTAACAGGTAGTAAAGGTGAGTAAAATTATGTTTCAAATTTGTGATAGTATAAAACTTAGTTTTCATATATTTTAACTTACAATCATATTAGAAACCGCCTCGTCTATTGGCGGACACTTCGGGCGGTAACAACCCCTTTCCAGACACCCTTACAGTATGATTATTTATAAATCTACTTTCGTCATAGTATAAAATCTGACTTTTATATATGTTATTCAGAAAGCTATACGAATAATGCTTCCACAACTCCCAGTCACTTTCGATGGTTCCCCTATCTTCCCAGGTACATTGAAGTCTACTCCAGGCGTGCGCGCGATGAATATACATGTACGTTGGTGCAAGTGAAATAGCATGA